CAGTATTCCAGAGGAATGCGTGATCTCGAACGAATGAATGATTCACATCTATTTATTAATTTATTAATTTACATATCTTTCCTACGCTTATATATGTGATACTCATTATCGTTTTTACTGTTAGAAAAAATCGTTCCATTTCTCTATATCTATTACTCAGATAAAGCTGACCAGTAGCAAAATTGCGATAATGAACCTCGCAGCAAAGTTCGTGGTTTTGCTCGAGTTTGATGCGGATTATGCGTAAAGTTTAATCGCATCTCGTCAGCTGAGTATTTCATATCATGGTAAAAATTCGTTGCACGTAGCCGAAGCAAAATAATATAAACGAAATCGGCATGAAGCGAACGTAATACTCAATTACGTCGAAGAATGACAATCAGTTTTGCTCATCTACTTATATGTACTTATTTTACGAAATAATATCATGATATAATCGTATTGATCGATTCAACTTATCTATCTTAAGAGAAAGGCGGATCGTTTAATCTTCAATCAAATTTCGCAATATGGCGCAAGATTTTTAAATAGAATTACTCTTCATATATCCTTTCTTATATATCTTAAACTAAGTCATCCAAGCTAAGTCATTTTTATTCCAAAATATATAATAATTCGTGGGGTGTATCTTAAAATGCAGGTGCGCTCTTTACGGATCACATTATTGCGTCATTGATTCTTCCAATTTAAGAGTACGAATGTACTTGAACAATTTTTGTGCCAAAAAATAGTAATAATTCAGAAAGGACGCGTTTTAGCACACAGATTCGTGCAAATATTTTTCATTACTCAATTGATATAACGAGGTCTTTAAAGCATACCTTCGTTTTAAGATACATTCTGCATGATAACGGTATTAACACTAAGAAAACAATGAAAAAAAAAAGGAGCAAGAGAGCAAAAGATGAAAATCACAATTACGATAATTGGAACACAACGACGATAATAACGATTATGATAAACGTACAATTTTAGATTATATATGTTTATAACAGATGTAACGTTTAATTAAATCAAATTTGTAATATCAGTAATGCGTGTTGCTTTGAAAATTATCGCAAATCTGGTGATTATCCGACAAATTTGTAAAAAAAACTTTTCTTTTTCTTTTTTTTAGAATTATTTATTACTGAAGAAGTTAAAGACTTATATATCACAGACATAAGAGTTAAAATTTTCACATATAAGTGTCTTAGCAAAATGATATACAAACTTTATCTTTCGTTTAATCGCAAACAACTATTAAATACTACTAATTACAGTCATAAATTATTATAATTTGATTTCAATTAGCTAAACTTTTATACTAGACGTGTAATGTTCATTTCTTTGTGAAAATCCTCGAGAGACTGCTCCCAGCGTTCTTCATAATAAATCCCTAACAAAAACTTCGCATTCAATCCCGTATTTATAGACCACGGAAGATGATGATTTAAGTACAAATGCCTTTGTCTGAAATGTTACATGATACATAAACGATCACAATACACTATCATAAGCTATTCGTAGATCGTGAAATGATTTAAGCGTGAGTTTACCTGGAACGTAGACGACTAGCTCCGAATATCGCAGCAGTTGTGCACATCGGCAAGCGCATCTGCAGAGCTTCTATCCATTTAACCGCTACCTCTCCCAGCATCGTCGTCGGCATCAAGAGCATAGCGTGAAAAATATCGTGCGTCTCTCGATATCGTTGCATCACATAAGCCAGTTCGATATCGTCGACGAATTGTACTTGCTCTCTATCGTCGGGTGATACTTTCTGCAACGTACATCGCTCGCTCAGAAAACATTGTTTTACAGGTTCTTTTTTTCGATAAAATTAATCTTACGTTGTTGTCCAAGAAATCGTGATACGTTCGGCCTACGGTTCCTTCCGGCAGGCTCTTGAAATAATGGAGATCGATGGTGGACGTGTTTATACGTGGTTTTTGTGCGAGAATACGTTGACCCTCGTTTGTGCTCTTCATCTGTTGATGACAATGCATGAGAGCCTTCGTACCGGTAGTTTCTGCGAGACACGCTATCATGTCACCTCGAAACGGATTCGCCAACGATATCGCCGACGAGCCCATTGTGAGAAGCACACGCTGCAGAGAGGATAGGGGTATGTGATGCTTGGAATAATCCTCCAGAAATGTCTCACTTATCTGCGAAACTGTCGAGAAACGGCCTGAAACCGAGCGAGGAAAATAAAATTTGATCGTGTGTTCATTAATAAATAAAATTTATTTCCATTAAAGTAGCTGTCGTATGTACATTTTACGCAGATTACATCTAATTTTATGGCGGTATTATACCTTAATTGACCTGAACATTGTCTTAATTAGTGTAATACTTAATTGGTAACAATATTTTTACTTTGGTATATATTACAGTCAGGTTGTCAGTGTTATTTTATCTCGCTTTTTAACTTTGTTCAAAGTTAAAAAACATTTTATGTTACAAGGAACAGAAATGCATATAAAATTACAACTAATATCAACCGTCATGTCATTGTTTGGAGCAAAGGAACATATGCACAATTTTTTGTTAGTATAATCTCGATATACTGACAAAAAATTTATGTAAGTTACACAATTTATCTTACATCTAAAGAAAGATCACTGGCCACATTAGATACTTTCTAAAGATGATAATAAACTCTTTATACAATAAAAATACATCACACTTACAAATGCTTACATTAAAGCTTACGATCATACAGCTTGTATCTTGTTGGCCTGAGATTCAGTCAGCAGACTGTATTTTGGCTGTGCGATTTCTCTCTTACGAAATGTTAACCAAGTATACACTAAACTGCCTATCACACTTAAATTCAATCCCACAAAGTTTAACCATGAAAATATATAATCTCCGCCAATGACCATGCCAAGGTACGTCACACATATGTTCTTTAAGCATCCAATTATAGTAGTGGTCAGTGCAGAATTATATAATGTACAAAGAAGCATGCTGTATGATAATACAAAGCCCATTAGACATGATAACATAAATTGTAGAACAAAGAAGAGATTTGTCCAATCGGGAAATTCTAACGCCGAGGCTATATCACCCATCCACCAGGCCAACAGAATCGTCGGACCGAGCATAAACAAAGAATTATAGTACATCAGTCCGTACTTTCCCAAGTCCTTAGAATCTAACTTCTTCTTCATATATACACCATTAGCAGCAGTGAAAAAGTCATTCAACAGAATGAAGATATAGCCCTCCAGATTGAAGGCGAGATCGTTCAGCGCAGCCACCACTGCACCCAGGATCATTGTGTAGACACTTAATTGTATGGACATACGCGCTTTGACGCCAAGGATATAATACTCAGCGATCATCGTCATGAGGATACTGAATCGCCGCAGGGCGGTGAACATCGGCAGACTCAGCTGCTTTGTACCACCTAATCCGAATATCATGTTGCCAATGTATATTATTGGTAGCGGCCATATCTTGAAAAACGTCGTCCGTTCCAGACTAGGGTATTCGATGTAACGCAGCTTCTTCGCGGTACATAGCACCAGTATCGTCGCAAACATTTGGCCAATCCCCAACACTTGGAAGGACGGAAAGGCGAACGACGTGAGCACGGTCTTGTTGACGACCGTTATCATAAACGATGAAAAACCGTAAAAAACTGCTGACGCCACACGCATGAACATCGCATTCTCGTGTTCCGTCATCGTGAAAGCGGTGCAGCCTCTCTCGTCCGATCGTATTCGTTGAATAAAATTCTCGTTAGCCGAGAAATATCGCTACTTCGAGAAATAATGATAGATGTAAAGGAACCTACACTTTGATAACCTTATCATCTTGCTTCCGCTCATAGCACCGGCTCCAATTCAATGCGCGTTAGATTAGGTCCAAGAAGACGAAGGTTTCAACCTCGATGAAGTTTCGTATAAAATTCAAATCTCAACGATGACAGAATTGCGAAGGCATGACTACTTCGTGCACGAGTTAGTTGCCCGCACAACTTTGCTTGACTTTGCTCGGAGCAGCAGCAGTAAGACGATTGTCAAGGCACCTGATTTGTGCAAAATTCACGTTATTTGCGTTATGTAACAGGTTAATTTTTCAAAATATTTTATCTAAAAAAGTAGAAACAAATAGACTTACACTGACTCTCTTATACCTTTTTTAAAATTAAAAAAATAAATTTATCTCGCTGTATATTATCTTCATTTACTTAAAATCTTAATTGATCTCACAATGACATCTTGCGGCGCAGTGTTTTAGTTTCAACAAAAAGCGTTAGATGTCACTACAGTTACCACATTTTCTGACAATTGTTTTATTACGTGCTTATATTTTTCCCGTGTACTTTATTATATCAATAGCTACAGTTACTCGTACAATTTAACTGACAACTCATAATATTTTTTAATGATATTATTTTAGTTTAATAACTGCAAAAATTATTATAATAATTATATTTATTTTAAATAATCTAATAATGCGTTAGATTAGGTTATGAGAAACTTGGAACTGCTGTTTGTATTTTTTTATTTGAAGGACGCACACAAATTATTTTTTCAAGTTATCATGTCATATACTTGGAGTAAACATCATTGAATTGTAATATAAATGTAAGTTCAAATACTTTCAAACGTTAAATATTATATAAAGTATTGAAGAGGTTAGAATTTTAGTCCGTAATACTGGTTTTATTGGTTGCATATATTTTTCGTAGAAATAAAAAGTTCAAATCTATGACGTCTGCCATGATGAATATTTGCATTAGTCGCTTTGCTATCCAAATCTGCAAACGAAATAAAAGGATTGATGGCTGTAAAAAGTATTTATCTAGACACAATTCTACCCAAACTGGTGGCAAAGTGTTAGTACACTTGAATGATAGAAGTATACTACATATCAGAGGCAATGAGACCTCTACCTTTTTACAAGGATTAATCACCAATGATATGAAGCATCTTGAAGAAGGGGCATCTAACATCTATACTCTGTTTTTGAATACAAAGGGCAGAGTAATGTATGATGCTATAGTGTACAAGAATGGGAAAAACGATTCTTACTATGTAGAATGTGATTCACAAATTGCAGAATCTTTACAAAGGCATTTAAAGATGTATCGTGTAAAACGAAAAATAGACATAGAGCACATAGGGGACAAGATTAATGTCTGGTCAATGTTTAATTCGACTAAATACTTTGATAGCAGGACTGTAGTGAATGAGAATGGAAATCGTAAACTGGAAGGGATGATATTTCCTTGTGGAACATTAAACAGCAAAACCAGCAAAATTATTGATGACATTATAATACATGAAGATCCTCGATTACCTGATTTAGGTCTCAGAATTTTGGCTAAATCACAGATTGACAGACATGAGATAATTAAGCATTTAGATTCCAATGTTTTATCAGAGAATGTCGAGGATTATACAGCCTTTAGATATAAATTAGGAGTAGGAGAAGGTATACATGATCTGCCACCTGGAAAAGCATTGCCTTTAGAAATCAATTGCGATTACTTGCATGGCATCAGTTTCCACAAAGGCTGTTACATCGGTCAGGAATTAACTGCACGTACTTATCACACTGGTGTAGTCAGAAAACGTCTGATGCCTTTAATGTTTGATAATATCACAAATAAGTCACTTGCGTACGATGAAAAAATCCTCAACGAGTCTGGCAATGTGATAGGAAAATTTCGGGGATATTCCGGAAAGTACGGATTAGGCTTAATGCGTATTAACGAAGCTCTCAGCGCTAATCAGCTTAATGTATCTGGTATAAATATAAAAGTAGTCAAACCTGCATGGTGGCCTCAAGAAGTTCAAAAAGAAATTATTTCTGCCAAAGAAACAAAATAACATATTCAATAAAATTCATGCAATATATTAATAGATTATTGTTAGATAAAAAAATTGTGATATATATACATGATACGCCAAATTGTAATGTATATATAAATATAAAATAAATTTATTATATGTAAAACCAATTCTTTATTTATCAATAAATGTTCCTCGGCGGCAGACATGAGAAAACAGTTTGGTGATAAATATAAAATATCAAAAAATGTAACAAAAAAATGATTAGTAGCGAGAATCATAATAATAAATTTAATTTTATATGCTAAGCCAGTATCACGTGACATTCATTACTGTGAAATTATGCTCAATATATTTAATGGATTCTATTCCTTGTTGCTTTATAGGATGGAAGATTTCGCTAGTACACAAACAAGCGAACCTCATGTTAGCAAGCAACAGGTTACTTTCAGAAATCAGCAAACAGCAGCAAGCGGCATTTTTATGTGTTCTTTTTGTTCTTTGAAAGAACGCTATGACTACAAAGGCACGAGACCACCATTCGCTCAACAACTTGTTTATTCAGAGGAGTGTTACATTATGAAAGACCCGTTCAATTTGCCAAACAGAGGTGAAATCTTAGTTCTAGGTGCTAATTGCAACGTATGCGATCGTGCTGTATGCATGGGATGCAGCATATTTTACACAAAACGCTTCTGCCTCAAATGCGCGTTCAGTAATATGCAAAATTTACCACCCCAACTACATAACAAGATCAGAAATTTAATAAAACATACAGATTTTTAAAAATGCAATTTTATTACTAAATATTGTATTTATCAAATGGAACAATTATAACGTAAAAAAAAAATTACAAGTTACAAATTTATTTTTGTTGTTTTATATATGAAATACATTATGCAATATATTTTATGCATTATTGTAAAACTTATGAATAGACAATGACACACATGAATATTGACAATTACTTTTTTTTATACTAAATAAACGTTACAAGTCATATGTTTGAAAATAAAATTTCTTAATTCTATCCTACGAACTATAAAATGTATCATAACGTTGTTAACTTAAACTTAAACTTTTACGAATTTATTCCGTTCAGTCTCAAGATTTTCTTTAGTTACGCCAGTTTTCTTCTTTCGCCATTTACTTTTTTTTCTTGTTGAGTATCTTGTTCTTCTTTTTCCGTTTGATATTAGTTTTTTGACCTTGGAATGAAGTCGGTTTTTTTTTCTTCAAGGCCATTATTTTTCTGATATATCGGGTATTTTTTAGCCTATAAAAAGAAATCACAATATACAACACCAATTTTTTTTTATCAAAATATCTTACGAAAAATATATAATATTTAAATATTTACTTTATGTGCTTCAGTTTCTTTTAAATTATTCTCCGTCTCTACCAATTTTTTTTGTGCCTTTTCCCGCCATTTTCTATCTTCTATTAAACTTCTCACTACTTTCATATTTTTTATCAAGCACTCGTATACTGCTTCTGTTTGTTCAGTTATCCGCTCAATAAATTGGGGAGACAACGTTAGGCTTACTGTTATTCTATGATCAAAAACCAGAGTTCCGGTTAGTCCTACAGCCTTAACCGCAGCTTCTTTGGTCATAAAATAAACAATACCCTCCCCTTTGTTAATTCCTGTTTGGAGATCACGATGTAAAAATATACACCTTATTTGTCCACATTTTTCAAATATTTTCCAAATTGTGTTGACATCCAAATCTGAAATTTTTACAGTTAACCAATTAGTTTTCTTACTATATAAGCAACAATACGTACTTGTAAAATATATATTTGTTATACATACCTTCCGGCATATTACTTAGCATTACACATCTATCTTTCTTAAACACGAGAGCGAATAAGTTATCCTTATAATATATAGTTATGTAATTTCCTGCAAATATACTTCCATTCACGCTGAATGCCTGTTCGGCAGCTAGTGGACAATCAAACTCAACCTGCGCTGAAACGTTAACTACGTATGGATGATTTACACTATCTGCTACGAATGGATGTAAACCATAATTATAACGGTGTGGAACAAACCATTTTAGTTTTACGGATTTAACGGAACCAAACCATTGGAAATAATTTTTTATTTCCAGTTCAGTTATGTACTTGGGAAGATTATCAACTTTAATAGATGTCCTATTCATGTTTCCATAGTGGTCAGGAAAGGGTATACGCCATTTTTCTTCAACGACCTCTTTCAAGATATCTTTTGCAATTTCTACTAACTTTTTGTTCTCTTCATCATTTTCATCTTTGTCTGTATTTTTATCTGTGTCTTCTTTGTCTTTGTCGTTGTCGTCGTTGTTGTCGTTGTCGTTGTCGTCGCTGTCGTTGTCGCTGTCGTTGTCGCTGTCGTTGTCGCTGTCGCTGTCGCTGTCGCTGTCGTTGTCGTTGTCGTTGTCGTCGTCGTTGTCGTCGTCCTCATCGTCTTCATTCTTAACATCTTCATTCTCAACGTCTTCTTCTTCACAATCTTCATCTCCGTCTTCTTCTGTAAAATACTCATCGTCCTCCTCTGATTCAAATGCTAACTGGTTCCCAAGTATATCTGAATCTGAATCTGAATCATTTTCCTCTTCTTCCTCCAAATCAGAGTTGAAATCGCTATTATCTTCCTTACTTTCTGATTTGATTTTTGATTTTACACCGGTGAATGCTTTTATACCTTTATGCATAACCGTTTGTTTCTCCTTTTCCTTTTCCTCCTCCGAAGAATCCGTGACAGATGACCAACTATCATTCTCTGAGTCAATTGGGTAACTCTTCTTTAGTACATCTGAAACATCACCATCTACTTTCTTTTTCTTCTTATCCCCACAATGCCATGAACTAGTACTATCAGAGTCTTCGTTATTATCATCCTCAATTTCTGATTTTGTACGTTTTACTACTTTTCTATCTGACACATCAGCATTTACTTCCTCTTCCTTGTAATTCAATGCCTCAGAGCTACCGCCTTCTAATTTCTTTTTCTTCATCTTCTTGTTGGCTGATTTGTTTTGTGGTTTATTTAAATCTATTTTTTTTTCTTTTCAAAGAATATTGTTCTTTCAATTCTTTCTTGTTATTTTGAAGTAAATTCTGATTATTCTCTGTATCATTAATATTTGGAAATTTTTCTGTAGTGATTCATTTTTT